AAAAAAAAAAAAAAAAAAAGAAAGAAAGAAAAGAAATTCACTTTAAATATAAACATATAAATGGGGTAAAAGCAAAATAACAGGAAAAGATACAGAGCATGCAAGCACTAGCTTTATCTAAGTGAGACTGAGCAAACTTCAAAATAATACGTATTTCCTGGAGTAAAAAGGGACATTACATTAATGATAAAGGAGTAAATTTTCCAAACATGCATGCATCTAACAACAAAGCTTCAAAATGCACTAAAGAAAAACTCACAAAACTAAAGCAGAGATCAATAAATCCACCACTGAAGTGAGATGTTTCACACTCCTCTCTCATTAATTGCCAGAACAAGTTGAGAGAAAAGTAATAAGGACACAGAAGACTTGAACATAACTGTCGATCAGTAGTTCCATCCACTTGACATTTATAAAACACTCAACCAAGAACACATTTTTTTCAAGTATGCATGGGCCATTCCCCAATATTGAACATACACTGTGTCATATAAAAACTTCTGACACATTTAAAAGAACTGAAGTGAATGCTCAACAAACATGAAAAAATGCTCATTGTCCCTATTCATCTGAGAAATGCAAATCAAAACCACCTTGAAATATTACCTAACTCCAGCGAAACTAGCCCACATCACAAAATCCTGAAGCTACAAATGCCGGTGTGGACGTGGAGAGAAGGGAACACTTTTACGCTGCTGGTAGGGATTGCAAACTAAGACAGCCTCTAAGGAAAGAAGTTTGGAGAATCCTCAAAGACCTTTTAAATGTAGACCTTCCCTTTGACCCTGCAATCCTATTACTAGGTTTTGAACCAGAGGAAAAAAAATCATTTTATCACAAGGACATTTGCACTGGAATGTCTATTGCAGCTCAATTCACAATTGCTAAGACATGGAGGCAAACCAGGTACCCATGAACACATGAATGGATTAAGATACTATTATATAGGTATATCATGTATAGTCAGCCATGAAAAAAGATGGAGACTCTATATCCTTTGTATTTACTTGGATGGAGTTGAAACACAATCTTCTTAGTAAAGTATCAAAAGAATGTAAATGCAAGCATCCAATGTACTCAAAAACCAAAGACATTAACATGAAGCCAATAGAAAAACAACCATGGCTCAGCGCCTGTGGCTCAAGTGGCTAAGGCACCAGCCACGTACACCTAAGGTGGTGGGTTCAAATCCAGCCTGGGCCCACCACCAAACAACAATGATGGCTGCAACCAAAAAATAGCCGGGCTTTGTGGCGGGCGCCTGTGGTCCCAGCTACTTGGGAGGCTGAGGCAGGAGACTTGCTTGAGCCCAGGAGTTGGAGGTTGCTGTGAGCTGTGATGCCATAGCACTCTACCCAGGGGGATAGCTTGAGACTCTGTCTCAAAAAAAAGAAAAGAAAAGAAAACAACCACATACCCATATGAGAGAAAAACACAGATATATTCAAGTGGGAGAGGGAGGGAAAGGAAAAGGGGTGGAGGAAGGAGGATTGGGAAGCTGTCCT